GCCTAGCTTGGACTAGTCTTGTTGCGCCTATCTATTGGTCTCGTGCCAACCATCAAGGTTTCGCGTTTAGGCTTTCGTGCTTTCTCCGCCTCTGGGTCGGCGGACTGAGCCGGAGGCTCTTAAGTAATTTTTTTATATAACCCCCTCTATAATCCCGTTTAAGGAGTTAAGACCATGGCTCACATAGGAGACTCTGTGTTCTGGAAGGTGATTTGGTCGAGGCATGGACACCAAAGCAATTCAGTTTATGGATGGGGCTTACGCCTTGCGATTTAGTCTGGAGTCTAGAGTCCAGAATTGAAGGACGGGCGTGTCCTGCATAAGGGCTCATGACAGCAAATTCTACTGTACTGTTTTGTAGAACCAGAGCCAGTTGTGGATGCTGGATCCAAAAATGCAGCAACCAGACCGTTGCGAATGGCATGTCTTGTATAACATCTGCAACGGCCCTCTAAGCCCCCAAGACCAAAAAATATCTGCACATGGACTTGGGTTACTGCAAACCACATTGATTTCCCATCAGAGTAATGAGTGCCTTCAAACAGGAGGAGAGATGATTCAGCTGTACATCTAAGCCTGAATACACATGTGTAAAGGGACTCCCTCCTGAATTTCCAATTGGCGACTGGCGCTCACTCTGTCTTCCATTCCATCTGGCTAGAACTCTCCAAGAAAGTAAGGCTGACGAAAAAGAAACACAATGTCTAGAAAGGAAACAAAGAGGTTTACCTCAAAACAGTTCACCCTCTAAGGCCACTGGACTTGAGGTTGTCCAGGTGAGGACCATCGGAGAAGCTTGATGTCGGCAATGCACAACACTAGCTAGCTACGACACAGCTGTCAGCCAAAAAACGTGCAAATCAAGTGTTCCATGTTGCGTCGGAGTCCTTCAGCCCGAAATCCTGATCTGTGAGCTTATAGTCCCCAATGTCCGATGAACAAAAGGAAGCTCCAGGACACTCAAACTGCAAACTTACACCAGAAAATTAGAACCTGTCTGGATGATGGCCATCAAAATTGTGGCATCAGTTAGGGTTCCCTCAGAAGGCAGTTTCACGGTTTGTGGGGCTGAAAGTCTGAAAACTTTATGGTAGATAGAGACCAACATAGACCCCAAAATACTATAAATCTTTTTATTGAGACCCCAACTTGGGAAACCCTGAGCCCTAAACCCTGTATAACCCCAGTAGAACCCCTACGTCCCCCTTGAAGGGGGACCCCTCATTTTGGGGAACCCCCATATTAGATTTTGGCACCTGCCTCGCTATCTTTCTGGTCGGGCCATGGCTCGTTTGGGGAGGCGAGGCCTCAAAAAAGGCAGGGTTCAAAGCTTACACTTCTAGCCCCCTTAAGAAGACTGAATATGTCCCCCTTAAAGGGGGTTATACGGGGGTTATATACTAATAATGGAAAAGAAAATGGAATGGAAACTACTCTTAGAACTATTGTCATCTTTAGGTGGACCCCCACCTTGTAATAGTGGTATAATGATGGGAATATCATAGGACCCTAATATAATCACCATTATCTCTTATGGTCACTATGACTGGGTTGGGTCCACCTAAGTTATGTTACTGTCATATTATTACTACTGTCATACTAATACCATAACTGTTGTAATCTCAGACATGCAGGATCTATAACCTCCCTAAAGTACATGGAATCTGGGGTATGTAGGGATCTTATTACGATTTTGCAGGATTTCATGTTCCATCTGCTCAAGGGGGCGGTATTTGAACAAGACTTTTGGGAGGGGGTCTAATGCTCTCACTTCCGGGTTCAAGCTTTAGAGTTTAAGCTTGGAGTTTTGGGAGTCAACCTTTCTGCCTCTTGACAAGCTTTGCCAAGAATTCTCAGGTAAGGATGGTTCGGGAATGTTAATTCTCAGGAGGGGCTGACGATGATAAGGGGCAATGCGATTGTCACATTTCGGGGTACGTAGGGACAAACAAGGAGATCTCTGAAAGATTCTGAGGCGTGCTGCTTCAGCGTTGCTCGAGAAGATTTCTGTTTCCGTGAAGCGGACCATAATACCCCCCAACGCCTTGTTTAAATACAGTCCCCCTTAAGTGGATAGAATATGGGATTCCCGCAAAACATAATAGGATCCCCATATATGCCATATTCTATCTACATGAGGGGGACATCCCCAATATTCCCAAGGTCCCTAAATCTACTCATCTGGCCTTTCCAATCTCGGGATCTTCGTGGACACCTAGAAGTTCATAGGAGAAGAACACATCCCTCACGCAGCATTGATACAAGCCTGAATCTGGGCTGTGGGCTGCGGATTTGGGCTTAAACCCACACGGTCGTTTGGGATTGGGTCGCGGTGCTCAATGTTCTAACCTCAACCCCCGCCATCATTCAATACACCCATAGCTGCTCCCTGTCGCAGAGTAGGGAGCGAGTCATTGAATGCCCCAAATATAAATTGCGCCTTCCTCGAGAGCACAGCTACGAACCCTAAACTACTGCGCACACCCATCCAAAACAAACACCCTAATGCTGATGTAATATTACTTCTGGGAGAATGGGGGGGAGTGGATCCCTAAACTGACCTCCAAATGATCCCGGAAGAAACGCACCTATGCGTCGTCCAATACTGTGCCACAAGCACCCTAAACCCGGAACCCGAAGCATCTGAAACCCTGAACCCTACTCAACTCTAACACCCTAAGCCCTAAGCACTCGAAACCCCTAAACCCCACTGTAAACACCCTAAACCCTAAACCCAAAAAAACCTTAAATAGGATTTTCCATTTGATTTTCCATTATCGAATAGATCTCCAATATAACCCCTAAACCCTAAACTGTAAAGATCCTAACCCTAAACCTAAAAACCCTTAACCGTGCATAAGCACAAGTGCCACTCCAAGCTCCCAACCTCCGAATCGCTGCACAGGAAGGCCACTGGAGCCATCAAACACTTCCATCCTTAGAACACACGCACGGTGTAGGGTTTAGGGTTTAGAGTTTAGGGCTTAGGATTGAGGGTTTAGGGTTTAGGGGTTATACAGAGGATATCTTGGGGATATATTGGATAATGGATAATAAAATGGAAACTCCCATTTAGGGTTTCTGGGTTTAGGATTTAAGGTTGGCTCTACCTGGAAGCTTGGCTTGAAAGGGGCTATAATATAGTGGTTCTATAAGGTATTATATAGGGGTTATGTAGGGATAATGGAAAAGAAAATGGAAGCTGCAATTTAGGCTTCAGGATTCTGGGGATCATAACAGGATTATGGGGGGTCCCCATTAAGGACTATCTCATGGAGGGCCCCAGAGGCTTCAGGGAGTGTAATGGAATGAGGGGTGATTCTAGGAACTTTGGGGTCATTCTAAGGGGGGAGAATGGGGACCCTAAACCCTAAACCCTAAACCCTAGACGTTCAGTTGTTGAGAAACACCTACACAAAAACCTACCAGAAACCACCAGCTTTGGAGCCAGACCTCCAGACCCAACTGCTGAAACCCTGAAGCTGTTTGGGGTGTAGGGTTCAGGGTTTAGGGTGTAGGGTTCAGGGTTTAGGGTGCAGGGTTTAGGGTTCAGGGCTTAGGGTTTATTTTTCAGTGTTTAGGGTGTAGGGTTTAGAGTTTAAGGTTCAGGGTCTAGGGTTTCACCCCTACCCCAACGTGGCGAAAGGCCCATTGCGAATGCGTTCACCTTTTGTCATCTCAGTTTTCAAACTTGTCAAACCGTAGACAAGCTCTGATAACTTCGACACGGCCAACCATCAAACACCTGCGCGACCAAAAGAACGCCTGCTTAAGCCTAAGCCCCAACCCCTGAACCTCTCAACCTCTCAATCCGTAAACCCTCAGACCCCTCCAGCCTAGGGAATCCCTATCGAATCCAAGCCCAATATCATCCTGCATGACCCCTACACTCAAATACTTGCATATTCCGTAATGGGGCCTTCTATACCCCCTCTCTCCCCCATGTCCCCAACCACCTAAACCTCAAACCTTAAACCCCAAACTTTAAACCCCAAACCTTAGGCCCTAAACCTTAAACCCTACACCCCAAACCTTAAACCCTAAACCTTAACCCCTAAACCCTAAACCCTCACATAAATCCTACAGCCTGGAGGTCTCACCAAGGCTCGTGGGAAGACCGCCCTTGGGCCCCGGGTCTGCTGCATCCATGGGACAGGGCTCGTCCTCGCGGTGCTCAGAGGGTGCTTAGGGTTTAGGATTTAGGGTTTAGGGTTTAGGAATTAGGGCTTAGGACTTAGGGTTTGGGGTTTCAGGTTTAGGGTTTAGGGTTTGGGGTTTAGGGTTTAGGGCCTATGTGAGGCGGATATGGGTTATGTTGGAGGGATAAAATAAGGTTTTCGACGAGCATCCCCCAAATGATCTTCTAGGAATAGTGGAAAAGAAAATGGCAACTACTATGTTGTGATTTTGGTCGTTGGATGCAAGTGTTGGGTCAAGGGTTTACTGTGTACGGTTCAGGAGGTTTACGGCATATGGTGAAGGATAAGTTAGCAAGGGTTTCGGGCTAAGCGAGACGGGAAGACGGTAGAGGGTTTGGGATTAAATGGTGAGGTACAGGGTATGCGGTCAAAGGTCTTGGATTGAGGATCTGGGATTTGGAGCTCTGGGTCAGGGGTCCGGTTGGTTTGTATCAGAACATACAGTACAGAATGCGCAGGGCAATATTCTACGGGGTCATTTGAAAATCGAAATGACGGCATTGCGAATAGCACAAGAGCAGAACACTGACAACAAGGGTTTCTCTTGTCTTATCAGGCTGTCAGGCGATGAACACGTACCATGGAACCTTGAAGTAGATTTGAAAAAAATGCTTGCAGGCTCATCCCCCGAAAGGCCTACACTTGTACATTGGAGCTTGCGAAGTTGACTGCTTCCGAAGCTCATCATGTTGCACTCCTTCTATTGAAGAGAGCCACTTTCAGCGGCAGCCTGATTATGTTTTTTAGAGAACTCCCTCATACTCTTGGCTGACAGTCCAGGTTGAGGCTTCGGATGAATTTGCGCCATCGGTTGTCCGAGATGAGTGACATGGCCTCAGCACAAGATCCAAGGCGAACGTCGCTTCAATGTTTTTCGAATTGGGACTTGAAGCATGATTCTAAAATTAAGCGATCCACATGAATCTTGCGCGGTCCAGCGATTTCAACTCCAGAAGAGTTCGGCTAAATGGGGACTCGTCCATCAAGTTTTTCCATGATGGTTTCATGTGTCTTGCCTTGAACCGCGAGTCAACTGAGTTTTACGCAATGATGAAGAAACCTGTGCGACGGCTTTATGGAGCAATGGTAGGAGGTCGCGAATTCGTAGCTCAACATTACGCAAAAAGGCAGGCTCAAGTCTACTTGTGCGAGCCAGCCACCACTTGAGTATTCTAGCGGTGTAGGCTTATACACCAAGCCCCTTTGCACAAGCATGTCTTGCTCAGTTCCCCGTCCTTCAGGCCAATAAGCACCATAGCGAAAGGAACATTAAATTACACCTATAGAACCCCTATTATAATACAATAGTTTCCATTGTATTTTCCACTATCTCAATAGATGTCCCCTAAATAACCCCTATATAGCCCCTATGAAAGCCTGCCAAGTGGTAGTAGGCCCCTCGGAGAAGATGGCCGCTTTCGCTCCTGGCGCGGCCCTCCTAAATCCTAAGCCCTCAAGCC